TCATTTCCCACACACTATCCTTGCAGCCTTTTTATGCGAGATTGCAGTGAGCAGCCAGTCACTAGGAATGTATAAGACTTGGCCTGCTTTCAAATCCAGGACTGTAGTGTAACACCAACCGGTCTTAAGTCTGACAATCCACTGTACTATGCATCCAAAAAAGATTAAACATTACCACTGCGTTTTTACTTGGATAAGACCAATTATGTTTCCTCGAAACTGGCACAATTAATTAAGTTGCATCTGATCAGGGAGTTGGACCACACCCTAAAGAAACCTCGGGATAGGCAGATGAATCCGTCAAAATTTCCAGTCAATATTGTCGACTAAGGTGACGTGTCTTAAATAGGCAATTCTCCTAATGTGCAAGAATCAAGGCATGTCATCTTATTGTAAATTTGTGGCCCTGACATGAATATCACACAGGCTTAAGTGGATACCCAGGAGTTACATGCATTGCTTTCCAAACTGATGCTACTAAGAAGAGTCGGGAAGGTTTTTAAATGCACTGTCAAACGCTCGGAATTCAACTTTGACAGCTGATGAAGTGCTTCAGTAGTACTTGTTTAAAGGCAGCAGCTGCAGGTGAAAGATAATAAGAGTACCTTCCTTTATCTAGCTGTTAATTCATTGTGAATGTGAACCCCGTAAATCTCTCGCAATATTCTACCAAAGATCATTTTCACTTGTAAATAACCAAATGTAAACCTAAGCATTAATTAATCAATCAGCTTTTGAAAGATCATGTCCTTTTTCATTTAATGAATGTTGATAAACAATGTTCAATCTATATAATTTTAAAAAGATTTAATTATTTTGCCCATACAGTATATTCTGTGGAGCTCTTTGAGATGTCTCAACGACTTGATGAGGTTCAATATTAAATGTAAGGATTATTATTATTCCAGCGCCTTGGGACGTCCTGCCAACGTGAAAGGCGCTACACAAATGTAATCTTGTAATTATTAACAATCATTCTGATTTGAGAAAAAAATAACTTACTTTTAGATAGCAACGATGGTCTCTAGATAACAAACTAGAGCATCTAGTGGTCCAAACTACTTTAGGGACATTTCAATACATTATGCGCAAATAAAACTTTGGAGCCCCAAAACAGCAAAGAAAGATGAGCATTTATTAATTCTGAATTATATTAAATGAGTGGATAGGCAAGACAACAAATATGCAAGCTAGAGTTGTCAATTAAAGCCTTTTATGACCTATTTTTCAATTGCATCAACGTAATCTACTGCATTTAAACAGCACTTCTTTCATGACACAAATTCAAGTCTACTCAATTTTAGTAATACATTTAGAACTGGAATTAACATTGATTGCTGAATTAATCCATTTGTATGTACCAAGTAAACTGGACTTAAAATTAACTACTGAGAATTACCATTTAAGCTCTGAAATATTACACCTTTGATGGAGGCCAATATCTACTATTACAGTGGAATCCCAACTGATGTTATAGCGACTATCCTCCTTTGGGAGTAGTGGGCAGAAAGTTCAGAGGAAATGACTTGGTGCTGAGCTGGCTCAATGGTACTCCAACTCTGCAGTACTCCAGGGCACTGACGATGGATGACAAGACTAGACAGCCTGGCTCATCAGCAGGATACGGAGGGCAGGCCAGTCACTGGAACAGGAATTCTTCCTACTAAGCTCCTGTTAACCTAGCAAGCCAAAGTCCCAACAGGTAGCTGACCAAAAAATGGGTAGTTTGCCAGATAGTGCTTTCAAGGGTAAGCTCTGCAGTTTTTGCTGGTTAAACTCCAGGGGTAACTCCCGCAAAACATATCTGGGGTCCCCAAACCTTGGCTCTTGCTAAACTGTGGCTGATAATTCCCCAAATTAGATAAGTAGGTTTCTTCAGGGAGAGATTGTGCATCCCATTCCATACACAGAGAAATTTCCACTTGTAGGTGGAACATGGTTTGGATACTCTTATGCCTGATGTTGGGTTACCACACACCAAAACACCCGGCTAACCAAATAAAAATGACATAGCAAGGTGCCATTGCGAGTTTGACAACAAGTGTGCATTCAGGTGGTTCGCTCCTTGTTTTATAGATGGTTCGACAAAAGAATGGCCATCTTCCAGGTTATCACCAATGTCACTTCTCATTTGCTGCACATGAGCAAAGCAGCAAGTGAAATTCGTGGAGAACTTTCAACTCATCAGTCAGTCATATATTACAGGAAGCAAGCTATGTAATCCATAAAGTTTTACTGTAACAGAACAAAAAAGCATCTAAACGGACTGATTCATATATCACTGTCAAATATCGAAGGTACGAGTTTTACTGTAATTATCCCACATAAGAATCAGCTGCTTTGCAAATTACTGTATTTCTAGAAACTTCATTAAAAAAAAAGCTAACAAAATCACCTCTTTACACATCTGAGAAAAACAGTAAAAGGCAATTTTGAAATAGTGGGAAGCCTTGCTCTCGAAGTTCATTTATTGGTGGCAGATTCTATCAATTTTCTGTGTTCTATTATTTTTTTAAATAATGGTAGAACTGGCACAGCATTGATAGAAAAGTTAGATAACTTTTCACAGCACTGCAGTACAGAAAGAAACTTGATTCGATGGGTCAGGAAGCAATTCCATTTTAGCCCACTGTAAAGGGTAAACAAATTGATTTCAAGACCTCACTATATAGCATTCCTGAGAGAAGCAAGTAGGACAGCAAATTGCTACCCACATCATCTTGTAGGGGCACCAGTGCAAACATTTGTGTTTATAGAGATCTGCTATCAAAATTCACGTTTACAATACAGAGAGCATCCACATCAACATTTGCTGACTTACGCCGTCCTCGCTGGTCTCCCCTGCTCCACTACTCACGAAATTCAACTAATTCAAAACTCTGCCACTCGCATTCTTACCTGCACTAAACTCCTTACCTCGATTACCCCAGTCCTTGTCAAACTCCATTGGCTCCCTGTCACAGAGCAGATCGATTTCAAGATCCTCACTTGTATTTCAATCCTTTCTCGCCCTGGCACCCCCTATCTTTCCAACCTGCTCTCTCTCTACACTACTATTATTTTTTTTGAAGGAATTATTACCTCCGGGAAAGCAATTCGCCAATATCTTTTCAAAGCAATGAAACAAATGAAGATATAGTTACCTTTTTAAGAGCACTTTTTGTGTCCAATTTCAAAGCCTTGATTTTACAAAAAATAGGATATTTTTGTAAGATTTCATTGTGGTGCCTCATTTCTTTAAAGTTTTCGTTACAAAATGATCCATGTACACACCAAATTGATTTCTCAAGGTCCATTGCAAGCGCTACCCTTTCTTTCATATGGGAATTCTATTAATTGTGTGATGCACAGAATTAAATGTTAATTAAATGTGCGAACTCAAGGTTAAAGTCTATTATTCCATTTCCCTTTAAGAATTAAGCCATGTGCCAACCGAACCTGTGTCAAAAGCAGAAGCTTTTTTGGCTAAAATAAAGAACAACCAGTAACCAGTTCTGATTTATAGGATGTACATCTGAGGCCTACTGGAAAACAAAATAAAGTCTACAGACTTTGAGATTCACGTAGTCTCTACTAAACACGAAGGCTTAAATTTAAGATGCACCTATGAAGACTGCTGTACACCAGGAGTTGCTTAATCTTCAACATACAAAGCTGCTGGATATTCTAATTGCTTTTTCTGCATCTCAAATCCATTAATTGTAGCAACAGAACATCATGACATTTTCCTAATTAAGACATACAAAGTCTTACTTCTCACTATTGACAGCTGGAGAAAAAAACTCAGCTTTTCTTTATCATTGGTTTGAACCACAGCCAAGTTGAGCTCACACTGCATTGCGGCCTTAGTGTGTGAAGAGTTTTTGCTGAGGTTGTAGTTGGCTGCCTGCAGGGTGAGAATTCAGATTCAGACATTACTGAAACATCCCCGCTGCTCGGGTGCCATTGTATACGTCGATGGGTTACTATAATAACCACGTAATCGAAGCCCACTTAATCAAAGGAGGTAAACAAGACAAAAGCCTAGATTCACTTCTGTACAAAATTGCACGATTTGTATTCAGGATTTCAACTGTATTTTCAATGCAAGTCCCTCCAATCAGACCCTTCAATATTGATTTGTCTTCATTTTGAAAGAATGCTGAAAACTTAAAGCTGCATGCCCCTATAATTAGTTTTGGCTAAACCATTGAACAATAGAGAGGTCTATTAACCATTTGAAAGGCAATTTGGAAAACTTTTCCTCGTTGTCATTTTAATATATATCTAAAGGGCAAAAAGTTAGCCTGACAGGTGTGCACCACTCTACTGCAACATATTTCAGTAGTCCAGAATACATTCGTATAAAATTCCATCTCTTGTTTATCCAAGACCAGTTTGCCTTGAAATTGAAAAGGTAAAACAGAAATGAGGAAAAATCCAATACAAACGTGAAGCTGTCTCTTTTTGAGAAAAACAGCTATTGAAAGCATCAAAAAGTAAACAAATATTTCGTCCCAACTTGAACAAAGATAGAAATGATAAAGTTGACTCGTCTTACTGTTCAGAATTAAGGAAAATCAACCAAGGTTTTGTTTCCAATGGCTACTGAGAAACTCCTGGAGGTGCTTGTGTGTGGACAAAGGGTGACGATGGATTCAGCTGCAATCCTCCTCAAAGTTGAATAGATAGCTGATACATATCAGGTACAAGGATTATTATTATTAAAAAACACATGACATGTGAAGAATAACCACTTGAGCAAGTTAACAAGTTAACCGACTTCAGGAGAGAACAGGGAGATAAGCTGGTAAAGAACAAAACAAAATCCATAATATTCTTTGTGTCCTATTCGCAGGTGTACCAAATATGCTGCGCCTATTTATCAACAAATTGTCATGTAATAATGTAACACGAGCATCATAAAAAATTTGAGAGTTTTTTTTCAAGTGTCACCAAACTTTATTGAACACAATGGCGTCTGGATTTTCGAAACGTTTAACCGTGTTTTTTATTCATACCTATAGGTGACGCTGAAACAGCTGAACGGCTATCACTTGGAGGTGGTCTGGGAGAAGCTTGCGGTTTATCAACAGTAGGGGAAGCATCCCTCATACGACTTATGACGTTGTCTGAGAGCTGCCAAGACAAAACAGATCTCTGATAAGAAAATGTTGTTCACTTTATTGACCTAACATTACATTTGCTTTTAAAAACAAGCATTACCACAAACCATTTATCATTTCACAAACCACGCTCAGGCTTTATGGGTTTAAAGTGTCATCTGCCTGTACAGGTGGATGTTAAAGATTCCATGGCACTAATTCAAAAAAGAGTTTTCCCAGAGTCCTGGCCAACAAACCTCCAGACAAAAGTGGTCATTCACTTTATGGCTGTTTGCAGGACATTGCTGTGTGCAAATTTGCGCCCAGTACATAGTACTGGGATATTTATTATTACCTTTCTTCATAAAAAGCTGGAATTTACCTCATTCTTCCAGTGATCTTCTTAAAGTTTGGCTTAATTAAATAACACTTCCAGTATCTGCCAGCCATAGATTTTGTTTCACGCCATATACATGATCTCTGGAGTGGGGAGATATTTCTGGACCTATTTTTCACATCTCCACACTTGCATGAAAATAATCAAGCTATAACTTTTAAACCAATTTTATGTTTTCAACATTGATAAATATCTTCAATCGTGAGGCTGACTTTACCTTTTATTTATTGTGAAGATACAATACTGATCACATTTCACTGCTTGTGGGATAATATTCTTAAATCCCTCGCTAACTAGCTATAGAACCATGATACAGTCAATTCACTTTATAGAATATTCTGAGAAGTCTCAACGATGTGATAAGGCGCTATATCAAATGCAATGATTATTTTTATGACTTATATACATAGATTGTTAAAAAGCAAAAGGGGATTGGGATTTATAGAAAGTGCAAGACAAAATGTACTTATCCATAGATGTAATATATGACTTTTATAAAGTTTCAGTGAAAAAGATGTTTTCTTTTTCTCTAGCATTGTTGGAATTTGTAACTAAAATCCTCTTCTTTTAATGACTTACACTATCTTGGATGTGAGGTTCTATTTTGAATATAATCCTTCAACTTCAATTTAAAAATTCAACTCCAATTTAAAGCAACTTTTTAAAAAAAATGAAAGTTGAGTTAGGAATTTTATCTGGAGGAGAAGCTCATTATAAATTCGATTTAGGCAACAACTTTTGGTGTCACGGCTCATTGCATTGTTTGTAACCAGGGCTGTTGTCTTTTTTTGCCCATATGGCAAAATAATCTTTGAAGCTACTTTAATATGTCCGATTTGAGGTTGCCTGCATTGTGGACACATAAATTTCACAGATGAAAAAGAAAACTGAAGCACATAATTGATAATGACATGAACAATTTATCACCACCTCCATGTACTTGGGCTTCTGCAAGTCTGCATCAATGATTTTTTCATTACCAACACTTTTTCCATCTGTGAGGTTACCATTTCTACAAATGAATTTACGACTGTATATATAGTTTGTTGCTACAAAGCCACCGAACAGCTATGTTTAATATTTTGACAATTATTGTCTTACTTATTAAAACCAAATATTGCAAAGTTGAAATTCTAGATTTTACACTTCAATTTTTTTTAGCTAAAATGTTCACTTTCATCGTTTCCAATGCAGGGCTTTGAGAGCTGAACAGATAATGCAATGATAAATGAAGTTCCACTGGTGACATCATCACAGAACATCATTGAGAGCAATGTATATTGGACAATATTTAAAAGTATATCTGATTTAAAAGTGCTTTACATTTAAATTCTAGCAGAATTGTTTTCTTAGTTGGAGATAAAGCACACTGATATTGTCATATATTGATGATACTATTATTTAAATTATTCAAACGATTTGAAGGAGACCTTCAACTGCAGTGTTAGCTGACTCATCGTTAAGCAAATCAAAACTGGATAAACTGTAAAGTGGATTGACTGTATTTTGTGAGCGAAACAATATAAAGTATAGTAACCATCTTTAATTTAACTCACAAACTAACACTTTATCCCACATTAAGGGTGCTATAAAATACAATGTGTTATTGGTGTTGTGCCTACGCTGTGTTGCAAAATGAAACAAGTGCATTATTCAAAATGCAATACAGTACTATAACCATCTTTAATTCAACCCACAGTAACAGCCCTACTTTCTCCCAAAGCACATCAGCCTTCCCTTGTCTGCAAAGGATGTGCAATTCCTGTAGGAGAGTTCTGAACTTAAAAAAAATCAATAATAATCCTTGCATTTGATATAGCATTTTTCACACCAGGACATTTCAAAGCTCTTAGTTTAGTAGCATTGCAGAAGGCGTGAACTACCGAGCTTACTGCACAGAATCTGGCCATTTGGCCCATTGTGTCTGCTTTGGCTCTTTGAAAGAGCAATCCATTCAATCCCATTCACCTGCATTTTCAAACACCCTTGTAAATTACTCCTTTTAAGATACCCATGTACAGTAGTTTCATCTTGAAAGCTAATATGGATCCTGCTCAGCCCCTGCTCCCAGCAGGGTAGTACACAACCTAACAACTTTCTGTGAAAAATATTCCTCTATGTCTCCCTCTTTGCTCCTTCGGTCGTTATATTAAATGACCTTTTCATCCAGGAGTAAGATTAATCAACACTGAACAAGATGCATTAAATACATACAACTCTTACCCACAAAATATAGTCAATTCACTTTACAGTATATAGTATACAGGATAGCCACCTATTAATTAGAAATATCATAAATTGTTCAATTTAAAGTGCAAAGTGTTCTGACTGTATATATTTCATAGGCAAATGTGGCAGCCAATTTGCATAAACAGTCATGAAGTGAATGACCAATATTATTTGGAGGACTGTTCACCAGAAACTCTGTTCTCTTTTCAAATAACACCAAGGGAACTTTAACAGCAACAAAAACTTGCATTTAAAAAATCCCCTTCATGCAGGATAGTGTCTCAGAGTCCTGAACAGTAGTGTTTCCATGATCCCGGGCTGGGGAAAGAAGTGGACCAGTTCAAAGGTCTTTATTAAAAAAAAACTTAATTTTGCATCTTATCTGAAGGCCAGCAGATCTGCATTGGCGGTCAATAGATATTTGGTAGGTAAGGATATCAAGAGATATGAAGAAAAGGTGGGTAAATGGAGTTAAGGTACAGATCAGCCATGATCCAACAGAATGGTGAAACAGGTTTGAGGGGTTGAATGGCCTCCTCCTGTTTCCATGATTCTTTGATGAACTCACTCAAGAGACGAGCGAGCGTTCTACCTATAGACAGGCCAAAACCTAAATTACCATTCTTGGCCACTTGCAACTTTTTAAAAAATGGCCAATCAGTGGATTGCTTCGCAATTTGATTATGAGAAGCACAACTTATCTGATGTCTTATAAACTGAATGCACAATAAAATATTACTTTTATGCAAGATGTTTGCACCAAACACTATTGAGCAAAATGTCTGTTGCAAAGCTTCCAACTTACGGATGCGTTTGGTTTGGCAATTATAGTAATCATCTGGAAAATATCTTCTTGCCTCTTATTATAGAATCATAGAACCTTGCAGCACAGAAGGAGGCCATTCAGCCCACCGTGCCTGTACTGGCTCTTTGAAGAAGCAATCTAATTAGTCCCTCTCCCCTGCTCTTTTCAAGTAAATATCCAATTCTTGCCAAAATGGCCGATGTATGGCAAATAAACAACTAATGCCTTGACATCCTTCCATTTAAAACGTGAACAAAAAAATACAAGCATTAGAGTCAAATATCATGTTTTTATTAACAAACAAATATTATGTTTGGTATCGTTACATTATTACACATGAAACAAAATTTCTTGTTGATGTTTTGTTATCCATTACACATGCCACAGTACTCTTGATTTATTATTGTTATTTTTTTTAACTGATACATTTCACACAGCGAGTTGTTTGGATCTGGAATGCATTGCCTAAAGGGGTGGTGGAAGCCAATTCGATAACAACTTTTATGAGAAAATTAGATAATTATTTGGAGAGGATGGCGGGTCTATGGGGAGAGAGCAGGGGCAGGCATGATGGGCCAAACGGCCTCCTTCTGTGCTGTATAATTCTATGATACATGTGAATAAATGTTTGTAAACAACCAGGAGTTTCATAGAATCATAGAATTATACAGCACAGGAGGTCGTCATTGGCCATCGTGTCTTTGCCGGCTCTTTGAAAAGAGCTGTCCAAATCAATCCCACTTCCCCGCTCCCTCCCCATAGCCCTGCAAACTTGTCCTCCCCAAATAATTATCTACTTCTCTCTTAAAAGTTGTTGTCGAATCGGCTTCTACCACCCTTTAAGGCAGTGCATTACAGATGCGAGCAACTCCCGGTGTGAAAAAATTTCTCATCTCCCCTCTGTTTCTTTTAACAAGTATTTTAAAATCGGTGTCCTTGGGTTACCGAGCCACCCGCCACTGGAAATAGTTTCTCCTTGTTCACCCTATCGAATCCCTCATAATTTTGAAAACTTCTATTAAGTCTCCTCTTAGCCTTCTCTGCTCCAAGGAGAATAATCCCAGCTTCTCTAGCCTCCCCTCATAACTCAAGTCCTTCATTTGTGGCACCGCTCTGGTAAATCTCCTTTGCACCCTCTCTAATGCCTTGACATCCTTCCTAAAGAGTGGGGCCCAGAACTGAACACAGTGCTCGAGCTCAGGCCTAACCAGTGTGTGGTAAAGTGTTTCATAACCAGCGTGTGTTTGTGAATGCGATGCCTCTCTTCCAGTTACGATTTAGCTCTGGTGGCAACCAAAGGTGACCCATCAGGAGGCAGCGAGACCTTTTGTTGAGCACTTGACAAGAACATTTAAAGTAAAGCATTTAAGACATAAACACACACACACACAGTGAAACACAAGCAAGCAAACAGGTAGGTCGTTGTTTGTGAGCAAGTGGTGGGTGGGTGGGTGTGGGGGGAACAACTTTTTCATCTCACTCAGTAACCTGTAGCAATGACAGGCCTAAAGTCAGACGCCCCCTTTGAAAGTTTTAGATAGGCCAAGTTAAAAAGTTCCCCCCCACCCCAAACAATTTTTTTTCTTTGGGAGTGGGAATGTGGCCCTTGGCCCTTGTCAAGAGAGCAAGCAAGGTCCGCACAACTCTCTCTCTCTCTAGGTTTGCACTGAACACACGCCGCGGTAACTCACTCACCCTAATGCCCTTCACCACCGTAATCTGATCATTATCATCCGCTTCGAAGGAGACGCGTCTGGTGCTTCCGCTGCCTCCCATGGCCTCGGCGTTAACGGTGTCGGCAACGCACACAAACCGCTCATAAGAGTATAACCATGGAGCGCGCGCGCGCGCGTGTGTGTGTGTGGGTGTATATATATATTAAAAAAAAAGCCTCAAACAAGTCAAAGCGGACGCGATAAAGGTCGGTCAGCGGCCACCATGACAGCCCATGCCTGTCATAGGCCACGGCAGCAGCGTCGCCGGTTCCCGCCTCTTCCCACCCACCTGACTCTAACAACCGCCGTGATTGGTCCAGCCGCATACCCGCGATTGAACGAGAGCAGCCATAGGTCGGCAGTTGCTACGGCGACAGAGGAGGGTGGGACCCGTCCGCAACGTGTCGGGGGGGAGAGCGGAAAACGCGTTTGCTTGGGAATTAACTGTCTGCCGTTCAATTTATCAATAAAGTTGTATGCTTGACGGTTGAGGAATGGGCCACGGAACTGTGGGAATTGTAGTCCTAATTCTAATTCATTGCACACACAAGACCCAGACCACATCGTCATCACCATCACAATAATGATAGTAATAATCCTCGCGTCAGATACAGCGCCTTGTCGCGTCTGCGAGACGGCTCAAAGTGCCTCACAGGATATGCTGTGAAGTGAATTGACGCCGTTCTTGGTGGGGCCAAACAACTTGGGCGCAGCAGTGTCCCGCTTAAGAGTCGTGGATTGAAGTGGCCAAATTATTATCCGGTGACAAGACTGTTACACCATCACGTTACCAGTTCGCCTCCTTGACGCTACAACACAATCCAAGGATGATTGTGACATTTCCCCTATCCACGGGTGTATACGAGAGTATTGCAACAAAGCATCCTGATGCTGTTGGGGGGTTGGGGCTGGTGGTTGGACAATTAGATCTGCAAGGAATAAGATCGGATGGATTGAAGGGAGTCCCTGCACTCCCCGACCTCTCTGACCTCCTCTCTCCTCAAAACAGTGCCCGTGGCCTTCATTCCTCTGGGTCTGGCCTCCTCCTCCGTCCCCCGAGTCCTCCGCTGCACCCTCGGCGGCCGTGCCTTCAGCCACCATGCCCCGAGGCTCTGGAACTCTCTTCCTCACTCCCTTCGTCTCGCTCCCTCCCTTCCTATTCTCAGGTCTCGGCTGAAGACCTTTCTTTTCGACCGCGCCTTTGATCACCTTCCCCCCACCCCTCCCCCTGGCTTGGCCCCGGGGAACCGTTACTGTGAAGCGCTCTGAGACGCGGTCCGGCGTGGAGGGCGCCATATACATCCAAGTTGTTGCTCTGTCATAATCCAAACCAATCTTGAATTTGTGCTCCAGGGCGGAACGCTCCCTCTAGGTCCCGCCCCCTTCCGCTCTGATTGACTCAGCGCATTTGATTGACATCGCAATCTGCGTCTTGATTGGCCAGTCCGGTGTGATTGACACCACGACCTGCATCGTCATTGGCCCGGCGGGAGGGGTGTGCTGGACATCACCGTCTGCATTCCGATTGGTCAGGCGGGCGTGATCCGACGTCACCGCCTTCATGCTGCCCTGAACGGCCGGGGTGGGCGTGCGACCGACGTCACCGGCCTTCCCTCCCCGAAGTGGCGCGGGCGAGTGCCGTCGACGTCCCACCGCGCCCCGCCCCCTTAGCTCCGATTGGTCGGGGCGGGTGCGAGTGACGGAATGGGGGGAGGGGCGGGGAGGCGGTTGGTCGCGAGCCGCCCGGAGTCGGTTTAACCTCCAACCGTCAGTCGGCGCCTACGTCACCGCGCTTGGGGGAGAGAGAGAGAGAGAAAAAAAATGGCGAGCGAGACAGGGAAGTACAGGACTGCCATAAGCAAAAGTAAAGATCCCTCTGGCTTACTTATCTCGGTCATAAGGTAAGCCCAGAGGCGGCGAGAATGTTCGAGAATGTCCCCCGTTCGATAACGCGATTAAAAAAAAAAATGTGTTGTCGACAGAGAGCAAAGAAAACACTTTTGAGAGAAGTAAACACAGTCGGTGACTGACTGACTGAGTGAGTCAGTGTCTCCTCACCCGATATTCCTCGCATTTTGCGACAGCTCCTTATCGCGCCTTCGAGACGGCTCAAAGCGCTTCACGGAGTACGCCGTCAAGTGGAGCGACTGCACGTTTTGCGGGCGAAACGCGGCGGCTAATTGCGCCCACGGCCATGTCCCGCGACCAGCCGTGGGGGTACGAGTGACCCAACTTATTTTTTTTCGAAGAGGTTATTACCCCCCGGAGGAACGATTCCCCCCCCGCCAGTCGACTAACAGCCAGGGTCCGACTCACTGCTTGGTAAACAGAGGCGTGTGTGTGTGTGTGGGGAGTCAGGAAACTTTCCCGAGGTTTCGCACCGCCCCCCCCGCCCAGGAATCGAACCCGAAGCGTCTCACCTGCGAGGCGTGCGCTCTCACCGCTGAGCTACGGGACTCCACATTCGGTGAATGTATAGGCAATAGCCTAAGCTGACGCTCCCAGTACAGAGCTGGGGAGGTGCGAGGGATTGGCAGAGGTGCCTTCCTTTGGATGAGACGCTCAGTGGGGTTTCTGTCCCGCCTGCCCGTTCAGGTCCTGTGCCGCTACTCGAAAGGAGAAGGGAGCTTCTTCTCCGTCCGAGCCGATAAAGATTCGCTTCGTCGTTTGTTTGTGGGATGGTTGCTGTGTGCAAATTGGGCTGCCGCGTTCGCCTGCAAAATACGCAGTCACTATACGTACTGATTTTGAACCCTTCATTGGCACACAGTATTTTGTACAATACAGTGGAAATACTGGCATCCTTTACTTAAGAGTAATGACGGATTATTATATACAATCATGCAATGGAAATAATGAATGTTTAGCAATGGTTCACCCTGGATTCGACTGGTTTGGGAGCAGTGAAGTTTGGTTATTGCCAATCCTGAATCGTAATGTTTCAAATGTTTCAAATTTGCATAGTTCAAATTTATGTATTCAAATTAAGATGGCCTTGACTACTTGTTCAGCAGATATGCAATAAGAATCCTTGCATTTGGGACAGTGCCTTTCACACCGGGAGGATGTCTCAAAGTGATACTGTGCAGTGTAGTGACAGTCGTTTGTAGGTGCAACATAGCAGTATTGACCCATGAAACAGCCATCAAGTGAATTTCCAATTATGAGATATTGTTTGTGGACCTAACTTCAGCACAACCTTAGCGGTTAAGAACTATTAAACTTTGCTATTAAACAGGTGCTCCTATTGGATAATTCCAATTGTTAGTCGATTGCCAGATCGCTTTTCCGGGATAATAATCCCTCCAAAAAAATACTTTGGTCACTCAATCCATCACTGTTTGTGGGACACTGCTGTGTGCAATTGGCTGCTGTGTTTTGGCCACAAGTATACAGTCAATTCACTTTACACTATATTCTGTGAAGCATTTCGAGATGTCTAGAAGATGTGATAAGATGCTGATACCAAATGCAAGTATTGTTATTAATTTGCTTTTTGAGGTGTCTCAAAATATTCAGCCTTTGGTGTTTTATATTCAACCCTTAAATGACAGCTGTTAAGTTTTGGAACCTTTGACTTGTACCCCCCGCCCCCATTTACGCCATCTTCAGATCACACATGAAGACATTCCTTCTCAACCCTGCCTGCAGTCACCTCTCCCTGCTCCTTGGTTCAGCATCAAGCTCCACCACTGTTAAGCACTCTCTACCCTGTGGGAAGAGCGCTGTATAAATAAAGTAATTTTTGTATATTTTTATTTATTGTTTTGGAATAGTTATCCAAACTATAAATAATTTGCAAGAACTATTGATTTGTTGTTCTATCAATATCCCTACCAACCTGCCCGCTCTCTCTGTTCATCGGGCTCCGCCCTGCTCCATGTCTCCCGCCCGACCATCGGTGGCTGGACTTTCAGCCTCTCTGTCCCCACACTATGGAACTCCATCCCATGGTCCCTTTGCCTCACTTCCTCCCTTGTCTCTTCAAAGGCCGGTCTCAAGAGGCTTCTCTTCAACCGTGCCTTTGGTCTCCCTCCCACCTCTCTGCCTTCCCTCACCACTACACCATACCTCCCCCATGCTCGGGCCCCGACAGCTGACTGTTCAGCGCTTTGGGACGTCCTCCCGACGTGAAAGGCGCTCTATAAATGTAATTTTGTTGTTGTTGATTGGGTTTCATACACATCATGTGTCCATTCTTGCCATGAAAAATTTAATTTGTTACCTGGTGAAGATACTTTTTTTTAAAGAAAAAGGTGGATCGGTAGTTTTCTTGTGTCAAATCGTCATGATTTTCCTCCCATTTATCAACAGAAAAGATAGAACTCCAAAAAACCTGAAAAATACCTAGGCAGAGATAATTTTATTATGTGAATAAAAGCAGTTAATAGTCCTTAATTATTTGCAATAAAAATGGTCTTTTCCAGGCCTGTAGGATAGGAAGCCACTACCTGCTGAGTGGAGCTACTTTAGGGAAGCATCCATAATTAATTATACAGTCAAACCTGTTAAAGCAATCACCTCTATTCAGGAACCACCTGGAACAGTCCTTACCGATTTTCCACAATGGTAACACATCTATTCAACAACCACCTAATCTAACGCAACTAGTGGCCACTCCTTTTTTTAGCCCTGTTGGTGTACAGGCCACCCTTTTCTGTGGCATTTCTAAGTGAATTTAAGTATTTACCAGTAATGCATTATAATTTCCATGGGCTCGCAAGTAGACTCCTAATCATCTCTTAACTCATAACGCACTATCTCACTTATCGGCGGCTGCATTGAATTGCAGGAAATGAAGTTATGACCCATTGATGCATGCACCCTTACTGGCTGCATTGAACTACCATCCACAGTGCAGATTATTGATTAAATCGTATTTTCTACAACTTGCACAAGTTTGCCTGAAACTCATTCTTCGCATTAGTCACATTAAGTATTGTGGTCCTGGCTGATACAACTAATGTGAGTTTAACTGTAGTTTGGTATGATAGATAATTATAACAAGAAGAAATAAATTCTTTGAGCACCTAAAGATTTGTTTAAATTCAATCCTGAAAGTAATGATCCAGTCCATTGACCCTAATTAGTAAAATTGCTGATATGCAAATTAGATAGAGGTGGAAAGCAGGGCAGCGTAAACTAGAAATGATGATAAATTTATAAATCTACAAAATGTGATGTGTATTTCGGCGCCAAGTTTGGTCATCAATCTAATATTTCACTCACTTTCTAAAAGAAAATGTCATACTGTGGAACTTTTTAAAGAAAGGGGAATACATTTTAAATAGTCCTATAGCTTAGTGGTTAGAGTACTTGCCTCACAAGTGAGAGGACCTGGATTTGATTCCCAGCAGAGCAGGGCGAAACGTTTGGCCAGTTTCCTTACACCACGCTCCTCTGTTTACCTAGCAGGAAACTGGAATTTGGATAATCTTTCACTTGGAAAAGACCCAGTTGTTAGTCGATTGGCGGATCGCTTTTCAGTGATAATAATTCCTTTAAAACAATTATAATAATAATTTGGTCACTCAATCCACGACTGTTTGTGGTACACTGCTTTGCGCAGTAGGCTGCTGCAATTCGCCCACAAGTATACAGTCAATTCACTTTACAGTATATTCTGGGAAGCACTTTGAGATGTCTTAAAGATGTGAGAAGGTTGCTATATCAAATGCAAGGATTATTATTAATATGTTATGGAAGAACGAAATGCTTTTTTACCTTGAGGTCAGCAAAACAGTAAGCATAAATCCAGAGGATTGCTTGATCTGAGGAGTTATGCCTTGAATCCATGTGGACATAAGAAGTTGAGATACATTCAGAAGCCTTGTGAAATGTGTTGATAATACAGTTGCATCTTTATGTGAATTTGGTCTGTGTTTTTAGATGTGCTATACATATTTGGTTTTATGTGATTTTAAAATTGAACACCATTGTTTCTGGAAAAACATGATTTTTTTACAGATAGTTAGTTATGTTTGGCATCTGTAATTTTATGTTTAATCCAATTCAAATGTAAAATTTGAACTGCACATATCAGCGGCACTATGACAGCTTGACAGAAAAGTTATTTGGACCAAAACAGTTATTTCGAAGAGTGCAATAATTTTATTTGTGTAATCTGTTAACTAATAGTTATCTTCCAGCATATAAAATTGAAAAAGGTTGTAAACTGTACAATGCTGATAATCTGCAAATGTGTGAGAATGAGTATTATAAAGTGGAGTTAGAGAAGTGGATCGAACAGGAGATATTTCTACATTAAAGCATTGGTATAATCATTTTTAAATGTCAGATTTATTATAGTGCTTGAATACAAGCGTAGGTTGATAGAGATGGTTATTAATTTGCTGACTCATGAAATCATATTAAAAGGAATTGCTTATAGTTTTACTGATCTATTTACCTTTGTATCTCTCCTGTAGAACGCTTTCAACTAGTGATGATGTTCATGACCGAGAAGCCGAAAAGGGCCGACTGGAGGAAGCTTATGAGAAGTGTGACCATGACTTGGATGAATTGATTATTCAGCATTACACGGAGCTTACCACAGCAATCCGGACGTACCAGAGCATCACCGAACGCATCACCAGCTCGCGCAACAAGATCAAGGTGGTGAAGGAGAACCTGCTCTCGTGCAAAATGCTGCTGCATTGTAAACGGGATGAGCTGCGCAAGCTGTGGATTGAAGGCATCGAACACAAGCACGTCCTGAACCTACTGGATGAAATTGAAAACATCAAACAGGTGCCACAGAAACTGGAGCGATTCATGGCAAGCAAACACTACCTGCATGCCACAGACATGCTGGTACGTAGCTAATCTGTCAAATGTTAATGTGTTCAGAACTTGGAGAAGATGCTATTCAGAGCAAATCTGAAAGCAAGTATTCTGGCATGTCAATTGCCATATGTAAGAGAAACACAGATGAGTGTTTTAGACCATAAGTAAGAACCGTGTTTTTAATAATAATGTCATCAATACCATTTTAATGAGGTTTATGAAATAAATGGATGATCCTAATGAAGAACCAATAATTGACTTATAAGAAGGATCCTTGAGAGGATTGAGTGGGAATTGGAAAAAGTAATTAAAGGAGAGGCAACATGGGTTTGTAATACAGTACTATTCTTCCTGTTGGTGTGTTGGGATTAGGTTTACTGTTCAAGGTGTGGTGTTTCAATGTGGCTCCTGACTCGCCTCTTCCGATTGCGAAATGGGTTGCACATAATAATCCTTGACATTGACATCGGAAGAATCCTCTTGAGCTCTTCGCAGGATTTCCTGTAAAGTGCATTAGTCACTGAGGACAATAGGAATGATACTCAGAATTGGAGACCTTAAATATCTCAATCTAGAAAGTTCAGGATCTATTGAATGGTGGGGATTAAATTTGTTGGACAGATTGAAAGCAAGGTGATCAAGATTATAATTAGAAGAGAGACGTGAGGCAAAAGGTCAGCATTCTCTTTCATACAGCTAGCAACTGAACCATGAAGGGAGCAGAGTTATTGAACAAAGTATTCACAGAAGGTTTCAACACTGCGCTGCTGATGAGAGTACAAGACTTGACCATTTGTTCTACAAGAAAACCCTGTTATTTTCCACCCAACAACCTCCCCCCACCCGCCCCATATAATATTACTCTGTTGCTTATAGCAATCTCGCTCTCTGGAACTCCATCCTGAAGTCCCTCCAACTTGCATGCTCCTCCCTCACTCCCAACTTTTAAGCAAATCTTTTATTAATATTCAGATTTCTCTTGGACCGTGATTTTGGTCTTTCTGTGTACCCAAACAGCTGTGTGAAGCATTTTGAGATTTTCTCAAAGGTCTTTTCCAAGTGAAAGATTATCCAAATTGTATTTTATTGTAGTGTATCTGTACCTATGTACTGTCAGCACCACTTTTCCTGTAATTCACACCTGCCTTCCTTGCATTTACCAATTTCAAGTAAATGCCTTCACTTCTGGCCACTGTCTATCAGAATTTGCATACTGCTCAGTATGCCTTTTTTCACTTCAGCCCAGACACAGTCAGTGAGCTATCTGTCTGTCCATCGACTGATTGTGTCATCACATCTGTTGCTGATGTAGTGACAAACCTCTGAAATCTGCAACCTGGAATTTAAGAGTGGTGAGACTTGTAACAGATGTTGAATGCATCTTTTTGTTAATACCTACATATGGTAAACTAAATCTTCCCTGGCTTAATTCGTCTCAACACTTAAGTCATCATGCTGTCAATATCGCGACTGCATTTATTTATGTATTTATGCATATACCTAACTTGTCACTGAACACTTTTCCTTAAGAGTGACAACTTTTCAGTTTACTCTACCCACCTACATACATATATATATTTTTAAACTTCAAGCCTTTTTATGAGGATTTGATCACTTTAGTTCAATTGCTTATTGTAATCCCACCAGAAGTTAATTGCCTGTAAGAAAAAACTCTGAGACAAAATATGTCCTTTGACAGCTTTCGGACCTGCATTTATCTTGAAACAGCCTGTTTTTGAAATGCTGTGTGAAGTACAATTGATATTTTCATGCATTTTTCATTCATAGAATCGTTAATTTGCTACAGTACAGTTTATGTGACCTGAAATGTGTTACCAGTTACATAGAAACAGATCCAGTAAATTATGTTCTTTTGTGGAAATGCATTGAACAAAATTGCTTTGAAATGTTCCGATTAATTCATATGGGTAAATACAAAGTGATCTTGAACATTTTCATGTAGTTCAATTTATGCGTTTTAGTGAACAACTACCTTTCCTTATTAAAATTACCTTCCTGTTTATATGTAATTTATGCAAGCACATGAACATCATAATTAATGCTTAGTGGATCACATTCTTTAATTTCCTTTCTTTTTCCACTTAAATTAATTGAACTAATTTTGCCAGTGATGCATGCTTTAGGTTTCTAAATTGAAATTGAAATTTCCATATTGTTTTCATAACACTGCTGGAGATATAGTTTTATGACTTGCCTTATGAGCTGAATTGTTTCATCTTTGAATGTTCCAAAGGAGATGTGCAGTAAGATGCCTTCCAGAATGGCATTTCTAAATCATTAATGACATCCAGTAATATCCACTTAATACAATTCTGGTAAAAGTGAGTCTTTATCAAGCTCTAATCCAACCGTGCTGAGGCTTGCAGTACTCCCAATGCACAGTATTATGGATTGGTTGGATGACCCATAAATTACAATTTAAACAGACGGTGGGGTCCTGATCTGGGACATACTGCTACAGAGATTAACAACAACATTAAGATGAGAACTGGGTTTTTCTTCAGAGAGGAATTCCTCGTTCGGAGCTCTCCACAAGTAGCTCCTTATAAAATCATGCAACACATACAAAAGTCATTTGGCCCATCAGGCCTGGGCCTAATCTTTGAAACAACTATACATTTAGTCCTATTCCCCCACCTGTTCCTCATACCCTTTTCTGTATTCTTTTGAACTCCTCATAAGTAACTCAAGCAACACTGGCAGACAGAAATCTTAGAGCAGATCACCTGGCCAGCCTCTTAGGTATGGGAAAAGTGTAAAGGGAAGACTAAAAGATAGTTTGTGAGAACAGAAATATTTGATATTAAATTGATTTATATTTTGTTCTGAATGTGATGAGTGAATGGTAGATTTAAGTTTTTCCCAGTGAGTAAATTGATATTTTATATGCAATGAAAGTCGTTGATACCTAGGCACAGCTGCTTGTGTTTTCATGTTTGTTTCATACAGTCAGGTCTCCTGTGCCTGATACATTGACTGGAACTCATATTATTTTATATACATGCAACCACTACATTGTCCAAGTATATTGTCTAGACAGCTAGACTGCTAACAATTATAACACCAATTTGTGCTGGTACTCTATCTGATTGTATAATATCTTTGCAATTGATATAGTGCCTTTCACTTTGGGAGGACATTTCATTGAGCATCACAGAATTCAATGTGAAGTGTAGTGACAATGTATTTTTGTAAATGAACAAGGGGATTACTATACAAATCTAAGTATAACCATATCGCAGATCTGGAACACAGGAAAATGAGGCATTGCAAAGGACTGCTTGGAAGTTGGCCAGTCAGTTCCCTGGCACATGGTGCTGTAGTGTGATGTAGGCCGTTTCAAAGATTTATCTCCTGGGACTCATAATCAGGTGTTTTAAATAAGTTTAAAAATGTTTTAATTACAATTTTTTTACCAGGAAATCTGTTATTTTTTTTGAAAACAATAAATGCTTCACTGAGACCAAAACAAAAATGTCTTCTCCATAACAGGTACCCGCAGTGTCACCTTAACTTTGTGATCTGCTACTGTCAATTTGTAACATCTGTTTTTGAAGTAGAAATTTGCAGGGGACTAGGTGGCACAGTTGTGTCTTAATCTTAGTCTTGCTCAAAACGCTATTTTTTACATTGGCTTATGATATCAGCGTATTGCTGCTTTTATTATAAACTAAAAAAATTGGTCACTCAATCCGATTGTTTGTGGGACACTGCTGTGTTCAATTGGTTACCGTGTTTCGCCCCCAACATATACACGCAATTCACTTTACAGTATATTCTGTGAAGTGCTATGAGATGCCTTGAAGACATGATAAGGTGCTATGTCAAATGCAAGGATTACTATTATTGTTCATTTGTAGAATACTATTCCCTGCCTCCCCACACCAACTGAACAAATCCGGTTCTAACTATTCTACATAAGTGTTTTTAGGTGCCAAGTTATAAATTGGCATTTGATAGAATAGCAGGAAACCAGGGGCTGCAGATGCAGTGTGAAGCATTGAATTTGGCTGAAAACATGCCCCAGCTGTGAATGATTGCTGTACTCAAATATTATATCAACTATTTAACCCTTACTGCAGAAAGTCCTGTGGAGTCCTGTAGCTCAGTGGTTAGAGCACTCGCTTTACAAGCGAGAGACCTGAGTTCAATTCCAGGCAGAGGGCGAAACCTTGGGCAAGTTTCCTTACTCCACACAGAGCCTAATAATAATCCCTCCAAAATCAAAAGCAATAATAAATTGGTCATTTTCAATCTACGACTGTTTGTGGGACATTGCTGTGCGCAATTGGCTGCCGCGTTCGCCCACAAATATACAGTCAATTCACTTTACAGTGTGTTCTGTGAAGCGCTTTGGGACGTCCTCCCGACGTGAAAAGGGCTATATCAAATGCAAGGATTATTATTAAGATATTGCTTAGGTCGAGCTGACGTTTCAATAATGGAATCTCATTTCGTAGTCTTGGGCCCTCAATACTTTTTTTAAAAAATCAATACATAATTGAATAATCATTTATTCAGCAGTAGTTAGTTCCAGTGGAGCTCGCACCAGTATGGACAGAATTGTCTCCTTCTGTGCTGTCGTTTCTCTAATTCTCTAAATAAAATAGAACTTGTAAGTGAATGAGAAACTTTTAAGACTGGCTTCACAATTGACACTTTGGCCCAGTTTGATAGATATTTTATCAAGGTGAAGAAAACTTAAGAAGAGTGTATTTGCAACAATATTTTAAATGCCGACTTGAACTAAAACTAAGAGGAAATCTAGAAATATTTTCCATGTACAAAATATATAGTGTTTCAAAAATTATAGTGATCAACACACTATCCTATACTTCGTCCAGAGCTCCCAGCTCACCTTTTTAAATGGCTTTCAAATAAAAACATTTAGTAATTGAATGAGAATGTTCAAAATCTATGAAATTGAATTGAAACATTTAACACTACACACTATTTGTTGTTCTTGTTATTATTTATTTAATGTATACCAGTAACCACATGTGATG